AAAAATAAAGTCAAAGTGTGGGTTTGGCATGTGGTTTGACATCCTGACAACATTTCATACATGATTTCTTAATGTAGAAACCAATGATTAAAAAATTCTAAATAAAACATGTTTACAAAAAATACATAAACTCAAAGTTTCCACCATAATGTAATATGACCTGAACCCTAAAACACATCAGTGGGTTTGAAATGCCTTTTATACTTGAATAAAATCTCCAAAATTACACACTTCATTCAAGTCATAAACTGCTAAAATTAAAAATTTGTTGGACTTTCAACTTTCTGAAGGTCCTTGAACTAATCATGCATGGCACGCCATTCTGTCGGAAAAGTGCGCTATTTCGTTAAAATTGCTTTAGTCTACATGTCCCACTTAAAAATTCCCCAAAAAATAAACTTTTACTCGAACAAAATTCTGTAAAAAAAAAATATAAATAAATAAAATAAAGCTGCAACCAACGTTTACGTGACAAAAACTCAGCGATGTTTTGGCTGAACTGTGTTTACACAGAGCAGAGAGGAGACAAGAATGGAAGCAGACTTAAATGTAGGTTGTAAAACATCTACAGTATGTGAAGTCGTTACTTTGTTTTTCCAGTATCGGAAGCAGCTGTGGACACCCGGGAAAATGCAGATTTCAGGCTTTTTTTTAATTGTTGTAAAAACTAATCAAATTAATTACTTTTTTTTCTGATTTATGTCATTCTAACCATGCTATCCAACTCAAAAGATATTTCTGAGTTAGTTCTCCCTCCTTGTACATAGTTGTTTTGTTCCCATAGAGCTGCAGGACTTTATATTGCAGATAAAAATTAGTGCACAGTGACTAAAATCACGACCTGCGCAAAAAATTAGAAGATTAACGTTCAGATTTTTCCACACGGCACCAATTACATTTTAATATCAGTTTACCATAGAAAAGACGATCTCTGAATAAAAACGATGCTGATTGAGCGGGCATTTTCGGCTGCTTTTGGCTGACAGCTGCATCTGTAAATCATTTTAGGTTGTATTAAGTTAAATTGCCACTCTCATGTCTTGCTTTACCTTGTGAAAAGGCGTCATGTTGCCAGTTGGCTCCCACATTTGGGGCTCCGTCATTTAACACAACGTCCACCTTCCACGTTTGAAGCTCCTTTCGGAGAGCCTGTAAGCGACACANTACGACATCGAGAGACGGAAGCGTACTCTGATTGGATAGGATGTGGACAACGACTGCCACCTAAAGGTTTGGCATGTTTATGAATGTGCTTAACAACACACTTATGCGGTTAGCTGTGGATGGATTTTTATTCTAAAAACGAGGTGGTGTGTAGGGGGGAGGATATTCGGTTTTATAAAAACCCTGCTACATGTGGACAAGGCCTCAGACTACAGGCAGTTCATGTTGGTAGAGAGCATTGTGGGGGTTTAGCAGCAACGGGACCATGACAGAGACTCAGGTCATGTGTTTCAGACAAACAGGAAAGGACCACGACAGCGTTATTATATCCCAGTGATTAACGTAACGAAGCCGCCTCTGTAGCCCTGATCATGCGTCTAATGGCTAAAACAGCATCAGTACAGGACAAATGTCCACTGTGCTAAATCTGTGCAATCAATGAATTGATTAATAATGACTAATGCTGCTTATTATTGATTAAGAAAAATATTCAAACGGACTGTGCTCTCCGTTTAAGGCATCAGTGGATGGAAACAAAGGATTGGACTTAGTTTAAAGCTCATGATGAGTTTAAAAGTCCCTCAATCGAACCCGTACATTCCTAATGACAAGACAGGAAAAGTGGAGACTTTGACAAGTTAACACAGTGAAATCTCACCTCACTGGCTTTTCCCAGAAAGTCCACAGGGTTGTCGGCTTTCAGAAAAGCTGTTAGCGTTAAACTGTGGAAGAGCGTCAGATCACCATCGCTGTATCCCTCCGCCTGGAACAGGGACGGATAAAACATTCAGGTTAAATGTGGGCCGTTTTCTCAAAGTTTATACAGTATGAGTGAGAACTATCACATCAATGTCACAATAAATCCTGTGTAAGCTGCAAATCATTACAGTGACCAACGGTTTACTTGAATTTATCAGTTATACACTGCTCATCTTGTACTTCATCAGCACGAGTAGCACACATACCTTAGGTTTCTTGTCAGGAATCAGGTCCCTGACCGTCTTGGCCTGCACCTCCACCTCTTTGAACGCATGTTTAGGGTCAAAGAACTTACTGTCGATTTTGTCTGGGGCGACAAAACCTGGTAACGACAACGAAAGCTTGGTTTAGATGTGCTCTGCAGGGATTGTTAACAAACACAAACCTGTTTTCTATCTATTTTTGACAATTAACAGATGATGTAGCTGCCACTGACCCTGACAGATGACGAAGATCTCAGCGGACTCGTTCCTCGACGCCTGTGGCTTTGTGGCCTGCACCTTCTTGAAGAACTGCTGGAAGATCCAGAGGAGCGGCTGGTAGTCTTTGGAGCGGAAAACCTTGGTGATGAAAGCGCCGCCTTTGGTCAGAAACTCACAGGCCAACTTCAGAGCCATGAGGGTCAGATGAGCTGAGCGCAGAAACAGAGAATGTAGGTATGAACCTGATAAACTAGGCAGCAACGTGATTTGAAAACAACTAAACATAAAAATAAAAGATCATTGTTGAACAAAAATAAAGTCAAAGTGTGGGTTTGGCATGTGGTTTGACATCCTGGACTTTCAACTTTCTGAAGGTCCTTGAACTAAACATCCGTGGCACGCCATTCTGTCGGAAAAGTGCGCTATTTCGTTAAAATTGCTTTAGTCTACATGTCCCACTTAAAAATTCACAAAAAAAATAAACTGCTACTTTTAGGTTGTATTAAGTTAAATTGCCACTCTCATGTCTTGCTTTACCTTGTGAAAAGGCGTCATGTTGCCAGTTGGCTCCCACATTTGGAGCTCCGTCATTTAACACAACGTCCACCTTCCACGTTTGAAGCTCCTTTCGGAGAGCCTGTAAGCGACACAGACAGCAGCTCAAAATCATGCCACAAACACTACTTTAGCTTCGTGTTTTACTGCAGTCTTCCAGCTTCCTCACCTGTCGGCATTTCTCAGTGGTGATGTCTTCTTGCAGCGTCACAACGTTGGGGATTGGTTTGATGGGAACCAGATCGACACCTGACAGGGAGGAAAAGCTCCTTAAAAAGTTGTCTCTCACACATACTTTTTGTGTGAAACTTATCACTGCAACCAGTATAACAAGACATTAACAACTTATTGTCATATCGGCACGTTAGTAGCATGACACTCACCAATAATAAGACTTGAAACAGGCATAAACTTGGACGCCACCTGCAACCTGGAAAGAGATTTACCACCACAATTCATCACTTCATTCCATATTTCTCAATATATGTCATTCATCTGTCTATTTGCCAGGAGGGCTGCAGGATGAGTCGTTTTAGGACTGACACTGTGGCTGAAAAACATTTTATATAAACTATCTGTATGATAAGGTGCAATGGATATAAATCTTGCTTAGCATCATTTTACGAAAGCTCTTGAGCTTTATCCTATCAACGAAGTTACAGTAAAACAAAAATGCGAGTTATTCTGGTGACAACTCTAAATTAGCATTGAAGCTGGGCTAAGACACAACTTGTTACACCAATTACCGATTGTCTACATCTGACAGAATTTAAAACTACATACACAGTAATTTATTGGCAAGTTGGTCAAACTTTGGTTTACTTCTTGTCGCCGTGTGCCATGACATGGTGTCACAGAAATAACTACATCTGAGTTTGAACAGGCTGCTTACCATCCTCCAGGAGCAGCGCACAGATCCACCACAGCTCTGGCTTTCTGCAGAAACTGGAACTTACGGTTGAGCTGGATGAGTTTGAAGGAGGAACGTGAACGATAACCTGAAAACAGATAACAAAGGAGAGTTTTAACTCCTCTAAAATCCACAGTTTTTAGTGTCAGCGAGGAAGCTATAGAGCCTGCTAATGCTAATATCAAGCTTAACGCTTGTTTTCTGCGCTCGCCGCGTTTACCTGTTTCTTTGGCCAGGTGGTAGAATTTATCTTTTCTGGTTTTTCCAACTTTAAGTTTCTTTCCCATGGTTGTTGCTGTGGCTTTACACCGGATTCAAACAGAAAAAAATAGTCTCCGTCTACTCAGGGACCTCAGTCGTCCATGAAAACAACACGTGTAGCTGTCGTGGCGCAGATGTTTGACGTCACACGAGTTCCTTCTTCTTCTTCTGTTTAATTTCGGTTGTACGCAGGAAGTTGACGTTACCGGCTGTCAGCCTCACTGAATGCAACAACAACAGACAATTCAGTACGCTTTATTGACATAAATATTAGTTCAGCAATATTACCAAATGCTGTTTTATTAATATTAAGTTGTTTTTTTGTTTTTTTTTAATGAGCACGTAAATAAATATTTACACAAAATAAATACATGTGGCATTATGGGCAAAAAGTGCCTTGATAAATAAATAACTGTACCATTACTGGGGAGAATTTTGTGTTTGAAACAATCTCGTGAGTAAATGTGGCATTAGGGAAAAAATACAATAATAAAAAAGTGTCCCTGAATTATTTTGATCAGCTGGAAACTGTTCTGTCTGTGAGATTTCAATCTCTGGAGACACAACAACTTTAAAATAGGGTCCTAGATAAGGTGGACTTTTAGGGAGGGGAGTGAGGAAAGGAGGTGAGGAAAGGAAGCGAGGCTCTCTCTCCCCCTTCTTGGCCTGTCCCTGACGGGAAGCTCCGCCTGCACTGAGGAACACTGGAAAACTTTCTCCACGCTGCAGATTGCGCACTTAAACTTGGCAATGGCGAACAAATATCCCGTTTATGGTGAGTTCTGTGACTGCTGTGATCAGTCTGTGTGTCATCTTAACTCGATTCTGTTTGCAGTCAGACATTGTGCTTCATCTAACGGTTCACTGTGTCTGACCTCCATTTAAAGCTGCGCAGCTGATAGCAGCCAACAGCTGTTTATGGTGTCTTCTGAAGTCTGTACAAGTGTTTGTTTATAGGGCTGGTCCGAAGAGCAATTTCTGATCTCCGGACATTCGGTCCCAATTAATGACGAATATCCCGAATATTCGGTGGGGGCGCGGTGGTGGTGCATGGTGCGCTCAGGCAGGCTCGGACAGGGGGTGCGCGCTCGGACGCGCTCGGGCTCCTACGTGACGTGACGCACAGGCTAAACAGACCACTTCATGTGTTTAGGTTAACGGTGACGGCTCCGATATTCGGAGATCCAGTTTGATATCCCGATTCCAGCACTGCGAACGAATAGTCGGCTATTCGGCTATTCGGGCTAAGCCCTATTTGTTTATTGCACTTTATTCTCCTGTAGTGTGTTAAAGTTGTGAAAGCAGCTGTGCAGTGAAAGCAGCTGTGCATCGACAGAAGCATGAATCTGATTTTCTGTTGTTTGTTCATAACCTAAAGATATTCAGTAGAGCAGAAAAGGAAACAGAAAGTACTCACATGAAGAAGCTGCCATCACAGAATTTTGAATTTTCTTAAAATTAAAAAGTCATTCCAAGCATTACAGAGGAACTACTCACACAAACTCAAATAAACACAAATACGTCTGTTTAGAATATATGAAAGGACAACATTCAGAACCTTCCCAAGAATCTTTGCATCGTTAGATTTTCTTCTGTCATGAAAACATTACTCCAAGTGTTTAATCGATTAGTCGGCGATTAACTCAATAGTTGACAAGTGATCAGGTATTTGATGAATCACTGCAACTGTATTATGAAGCAACATATTCGGGCTTTCTTTGTGTTAGCTGGCTCGACAAAACCTAAAACCCCAGTTAGAGACAATGGGTTCATTAAATATTTTACGTGATCTAATCTGTGTTCTCTCAGCTGCAGCACCAGCAGCGTACAACACACTGGGATGTAAATCAGGACCACACAAAAACACGCATTTATCAATTTTCTGCATCACCAAATGAATGCTTGTAGGTTTCCATAGCGACAGGATGGGTAGCTTTACCTGCATGGCTTTGTCCATTGAGGTTTAAAAACATACTGCTCAGCAGGTTTGCAGACAAAACCTCGGGTTAGAATATGTATCGCTCGGAGAAAATGTTGTCAGAAGCAGAACTGATGGAAGAGCAGTGGTTCTTACAGATGATTTAATCCCAAACACAGCTTAACATACCTGTGAACCTGTTAATCTGTCTTTGTAGTTCAGTTCTCTGTCGTCCATGTAACGTTGTACAGCTGATATCAGGAACAGCTGTCGATTGTGTCTTCTAAAGCCTTTAAGTGTGTTTGTTTATGTCATCAGATGCTACAGCAGCACCACCAGCCCCACGTTTGCTGCATCGATCTGCTCCACGTGTCAAAGAGCCCACGAGCAGAACAGGGAACTGTTCGTTCAACCTGGTTGAAGGTGAGAATCTTCCATGACACACACTGTTGGTGTGTGAGTGTGTGTTTGATTGGGTGAATGAGAAACACATTGTACAGCTTTTTGTAGCGCACAGCTGAGGTTAGTTATAAGTGTCCTCATTTATGTTGTGCAAATGTTACTTTCCTACAGTGCATAAAACCTGTGAAAGCAGCTTTCCACTGATGGAAACAGGAATTAGTTTTTCTGTTCATTCCTACAAGAAAAAACATCAGTTTCAGTCATCTTGTTTAACCCTATAATTATAATTAAAATTGTAATGAATATTTATTAGAATT